GGTTGATTCTGTCTCAGTTGCCTATTGTACGACCCCCCCGGGACTACCCCCAGGTTAAGGACCCCAGCTCTAAACAACTAAAATTTTCTCTCCTAGTTGCTGATGCATTTTAGAATAGGGAAATAATTCCCATTCACTTTTGGACATGCATCTTATAGGAAGGATGGTTTAGTGCTGTATTAATTTTTATTTTGGACATAAAGGAAGTGTATTTCTCTTGCTAGCCTGTTTAGGCATTATATAGGATATCAGTTTACAGGGTTTGCATTCTGGGTCTAAGTCTGTTGAATATAGACCTCTGAAATGTCCTATTTTGTAATTAGTGTAGGTTTTTTGCTGTACTGTATGTTTGTAATGCTTTTAGTTTTGTGCCTTTGGCTTGTTAATAAATATTTGTCCTAATTTGCTTCTGATTTGTTACTTTTCCACCAGAGCTGTGCCAGAGAATTCATGTGTCTAAAATTATACCTACTCAATTGGATTGATTATATGTGACATTTGGCTTTTAGTTCTTTGTTTAAATGTTTGTATTTCTTACTTTCTATTCTTTCTGACACACCCATAAATTGTAACAATATTGTCATGATCATAATTTGAGGATTGTCTGGACTGTTTCTAAAGTATAGCTAATAGTATTTTATAGTATTTTTATACTATAAAAATGAAACACTGTATATTCTATAAAATACTATGTTTTTTTTGGCATTTAAGATGCCTAACTATCTGTATGTATAACAGGGCTCTGTGGTATTGAACATAGAATAGGCATGATATCACACCCCTGAAATCTGGACAGTAAAAAATGTCTATGCAGCACAAGTCCTGTCTAGGGAATGGCACTACATGTGCCCTGAGGTTACAAGATACATGTGATCAAATCCTGGCAGGGACAGAGCAGAGTATTGCTTTTCAGGTACGTTATGTATAAATTGAAAAACAAACTTTTCACAGAATGCCTTCTGTCAACATGCATTCTGAGAAACAGAACTGGTACCTTTCAAAAGTGCCTTAAGAATGGCAACATCCACATCACTGCGTCCTTCTTCATCTATCCGGAAAACAGTCAGAAGCTGCTGCATTCTGATAATGTCTTGAATCTAAGAACACAGTACAGTTTGATTATCACCAGATACTTGGTTTACAAATATATGCACCTAAATCAAAACCTCAACATTATTCAGATGAGCTTAAAATTAAATATAAACATTGATTAAAATTTTGAGAAATAAAGCACTGATAGATTACGTAGATTCAATTAATTGCAAACTACGGTAAAATATTGTTGGAGAAAACCATTAGACAATAATGTTGGGAGCCTTAAAATTATATGTGAAACTAAGGAGTAATTCACCTATCCATTAGCAGACTCTTATTCCTCGTAATTAGATGTAGCATCTTGGGGATGATCCAAGAAGAAAAGCGGAACAGCACATTGTATTGGATCACAGTCTGTTACTTTTGTGCCAACCCAATAAGAGGTATATATTTTTAAAAATCCTTAAATTGTGACTTGTCAGAGGTGAAAACTTTTCAGGTCTGTATTTATCAAACCGTGATTTCGTAGGTCTTTAAAAAAGATAATAAAATCTACTTATTCTACAATTGAAATTGCTGGCTGGCTGTTCATTAGTGTAGCTCTCACCTACTCTTTTGTCTCAACATATTTTTTTTCAATTGTAGGGTTCAAATATAAAAATTATTTGTTCATGATTCGGTAATGAACGAGGAACCATCTTCCTCATAGAGATAGTGTATATCCTGAGGTTAAACCTTAGAATAGGAAGTCAAACCTAATGTGCATGTCTTTAAGAGGTGGGAGAAAACTGGAATGTTTGACAAAAACATAAACACAATTTGGATAAATATGCAGACTCCACACAGCTAAGTGCTGAAGGCTGAAATAAAACCCAAACCAATGGGCCTCAAAGCTGCAGTCTGGTTGTGGATATAATATCCTAGAACTATAACTAGAACTAAATTCTCTAGTTATATTGTCATGTACATTGTCTGTCTTTTCACAGTGTTACTTATTTTTGAAGTACCACAGGTCTGACATTTCCCTCTCTTTAAGAACCCTTTTTTTACCTTCTTAGTCCATTCTATGATTTTAAGTTCAGAGAAGGTGTCATATTCTTTAGAAAAGAATCTCTTCAGTTGTTTCTTGATGAGAGAGACGGTGACCTGAGACACAGGGAGGTTGGCTAGTTGTGCAATGACATCAGCAATCCTCCCAGAACCCCCCAGGATGACACAAGGGGTGCCATTAATCACAGCATTGTAGATTGTCTGCAGGGTGGAAATAACAAAAGGAAGAAGCGTGTCAGAAAAAAAAACATTCTTCACTGGAACAAAACTTTTTTTATGTTTTTCAGCACATTTAAAAAAAAAATGTGAGTTTCCTTTGTCCACATTATTTACTGAAAACATTTGAGTACTTCACTTTGGGTCTGAATTGGTATTGCCATGCAATCCATGTGCTCTACTTTAAGAAAAACGCAACTTTCTATATGATTTCATCATATACCCACAACAGAACCTTCATACCTTCTTGTAGTTTATGATAAGTGCAAAACAATCTTATATATCCTATACAGTATACATAACTATATCTGTGAAAAACCTGAACACTAATAATTTATTATTTGAACACTTTCCAATGTACATTATGGCATTTATGTCTCATTTGATAGTTCTCTCCATTATTTCTTTATATGTGTTTTTATATCTCTGCATATATTTGTCTGGGGAGCAATAAAAAAAGAGGACATACTTCACATAAAAATACTTCATGGGTTGTCCTCCTTTCACTTGGTACTTATTTTTGCTTTTTTATCCCATTTACATTAATTGGTTAATGTGCAGTAAGTGATAGACAGGGTGATACACATCACTTACTGATACACTCTACACATACACTCTAGCACTTACTGCACATTGGTACATAAGGTGTATAAACTAAATGTTCGACTGGTCTGAGCTATGATCTCACAAACAGCAAACTCACATTAAGTGTCCCAGGTCCTCCTTCCAGTACGACACACACAGCAGGGATTGTAACTGATCCATCTTCCATGGAAATAGAATAATAAGATAAAAAGAAGGAATGAGTGAATTTTCATTATATAAAATTATATATGAAATGATTGAATAGGTAAGGACAATAACAGATAATAAAAAACAAATAATCCGAGTTGAGCAGGCTGTACAAGGTGTCTAGGCTCAGTCACCTCGGTTCCCAAGTGGCTGCTCCGAGATTAATTTCTCCAGCTTGCTCCTCAAGGCAATCTCCACTCCATACTTCCCGTGAGTGCCATCATCCACTAGGATGAAGTGGGAGTGGTTGATATCCAGACAGGAAAGTCGGCCCTGGCTTGTCTCATCCAAGGGGTAATAGCCCGAGAATTTTCCCTGTAAAAAAGAAGGACGGTGTAATTCACTGTAGTAAAATATGGTTTATACTGGAATGTGAAAGTGAAATGCCTGACCAATTTTTAAACTTTTTACATCGGGGTATATAAAATGGTATAAGTTATTCAGCTTGTCAACACATAAGAGACAGAGACACAGGGCAAATAAAAGAAATTAATCCATTCATCCATTTTCTAACTGCTTAAGGGAATTTTTCTTAATTCCTTGTCTGATAAGTCTTTTTATAAGACTTTAAACACTTTTGTCTTGTAAATTTCCACTCCAGCAGTTGTGAAAGTATATAGTTCCACTTTTGTATGTATATGCTGAACTGTCATGTCTGTTGTAATTACAAGGCATAACTGCCATATGTGTCACGGATGTCGGAAGGGCAAGCCTTGGAATGGCCAGGAGAGCAATAGAAAGCCTTTCTGTAGTAGTAAAAGGGACAACACGGAGGTTAGCCCAGGCTCAGGGGGTCGGATGATGTCTGTATAGAAACCTAAGCCCTCAGGCAATGGACGTGGGGCGACCTGGTGCTAGGTGGGTCTCAGGACATCCATACCGTCAATGCTGAGCGTGGAGCAGAGCAGACACACGAAGTAAATAGGCTACACAACAAGACACACTGGAAAGACATGAATAATCACAGGGAACTAGGAACTAGAGCGCCTTCTAGGAGTACAGGGCATGACAATATGTTCTTGGCAGTGTTACAAAAAGAAATGAAGAATCTGCTTCTTCACGTGCACACCAAGGTCTAATCCCTTTTATGGACAAGTTTTACAGACTTTACTGTATAAAAAGACCACTCTCTCCAAGAGCTAGGCTCCTATATGCATATGTAATAAAGACAACTTCTGCTACACGGACACCTGAATTGCTGTAAATTGTTTGACACAACATGCTCAATCCAATATAGTGCTGTGGGGGTGTCAGAGCATGCAATGGGAGCAAGGCAGGATTTACCCTGGACAGGATGCCAGTGTATTGCAGTGCACACATAGAAACACACACATCGGGGCCAATTTTCCCAGAATCAAAATAACCTATCAGTATGTTTTTTGGAGCATGGGAAAAAACAAAAAGTGCTGAGACAAAACCCATGTGAACATGAGGACTCCAAGAAGATATCACCCCAAGGGCCCCAGCACCGCAAGGCAGCAATGCTTACCGCTGTGCCATTGCCACTGTGTTACCCAGATATTTTATTGCTATTGCTAATTTATAGCTCTAATAGCAGCAGCACATATGGATGACTGGCCTCACTGCTGCTTACCAGGTTCCTGGCACTGTGTTGAAAGCCTATGCATTCTCTACCCTGGCACTCTGTCCTTACTGGACCTTGTCCTGCCTAATGCCTAGAGATCTCTACTGCATAGATCTACTGTATGCTGGCAAGGATGTGATAGTGGGTGCTTGGAGTGGTGCTGATGCAGTTAAATAGTTGATGCACAGTACTTCTAGCATAACTGTATATTTTAAAAGGTAGAAATCTGGAGAGGGGGTACCACTGATGGTTGGATGTTATTTGTAATACATTACGGAATGTTCTGTGACTAACATATTCTTAGTTTATTGTGCACAAGATATTAAGAAGGCTAGGGCATTGCTGGATCATTTTGGCTTGATTGCATGCACATTGTGTGCAATTCCTATTTGGATGGTTTGTGGAAAAAAAGATAAGAGAACAGATTAAGAAACTCAGTGAATCAGTAGTTGGAAATCCAATACACAAAGCTTACTTTAGGAATCAAGCCAGCAGCCATATCACCCTGCAACTCACAATTGGCAACCCACTGAAGCTAAGCAGGTGTGAGCCTGGTCAGTACCTGGATG